TAGGAAAGGAAAGAGGAGGCATGTTCATAGCAGCGTTATTTATAATTGCCAAGATTTGGAAGCAGCCCAGCTGTCCATCAGCAGATGAGTAGATAAAAAAAGCTGTGTACATTTACACAATGGAATACTACTCAGCTGTAAGAAGGAAGGAAATCTTACCTTTGCAACAGCATAGATGGACTTGGAGAGTATTATGCTAAGTAGAATAAGCCAGTCAGAGAAAAACAGGTACCATACGATTTCACTTATATGTGGAATCTGATGAACAAAATAAATTAACAAACTAAACAGAAACAGACTCATAGATAGAGAGAACAGACTGAAGCTGTCAGGGGGGAGGGATTTGGGGGCTATGTAAAAAAGGTAGAAGGGTTAAACAAAAAGAGGAAAAAGAGAAGGAATTAATCTTTTTGAACAACTATTATATGCCAGGCAGTTTTTTTTAGATGCTTTACTAACATTATTTCATTTAGTCTTTTCTCCATATCTTCCTTATGAAGTTGGTATCATTAGTCCATTTTACAGATAAGAAAGTTTGGCAAAAAGGTAATTGTAACCTAATGACCACTTTGGGGTTCGAACTCAGGAGTGTCCTACTTTAATTGAATCATAGAGTTGTGGCAAACCAACATCCTGTTCTTGCTTAGCCATCCATTTCGGAGGCTTGTTCATCTTTGCCATTCTCTATGACTGGTATCAGGATTTAAACTCAGGAGCATTGGACTCTAATATCTCTGTTCTTTTCAGAACACCTCACCATTACGTTACCCAGAAAATTATTATTCCTTCTGCTCCTCAGCAGCAGTCAAGATAAAAACCACAGAGTGTAAGCCAAACTACTTCCCTCTTCCTGGCTAGATTTTCAGTACAATTTTGTGTCATAATGTGAGCTCCTGCTGCCACCTGCTGGCAGCCACCCACATCCTGCTGTTCTTTGCAAAGCCCCCTGTATGATGGAGGAGCCATTTGGCAATAATAATAAAAATAACTAATAATAATAATAATAAATAAAGAAGCTTAATGCAGACAACCAGCTGGTAAATACTCCCAGAAGATGGTAAATTCCTAAGGGAGGAATAATTCCCATACAGCTCTCTTGGGAATATATCCTTTCTCTTTCAAAGTCATTCACAGTTTTCATCAGATTTCATCTGTCTCTAGGTATTGAAAGAAAGAACAAATTCTGTTATGCAGACCAACTAAATCTGAATGATGATCTCTTGTTAAGTTGGGGTATTTCATGACCCAGCACATAACAGTGACCACTGTGTTGACAACCAATAAACCAGTAGGTAACAGGGCCTTAATTAAGAAAAATCTAAGTGCCCGGCTAAGCTGGGGTTGGCCTCCTGACAGAAGGTGGAACCCCAAGTGATCAGGATGCTGCACGTCCTGGTCCTTTACTCCAGGCAGCCAGGACCAGCAGGGGAATCCATTCCCTTCGTCAAAGACATCCATCTGTAACACACACACACACACACACACACACACACTCTCTCTCTCTCTCTCTCTCTCTCTCTCTCTCTCTCCCCCCCCAACCCCCAACCCCCAGAACATGATGACCTGTCTTCCAGGGTGGAATCTTGGATTTTTGTTTTTCTTGGTTTCCCCTTTCTTGACAAAATGGGTTCGGGGGTCCCTTCCTGGGGGAGGGGAAGCTTATTTCTGACCGTTGGAAAAAAAAAAGAAAGCAGGAATTGTTGTCACGACAATTAGGAGCTCATCAAAGCCTCATTTTGCTCATCAGCCATCATTGCCCTCCGTCCTGCACCCCCGCATGTTCCTCTAATTCAATGCCTGCCTAATGAATAACTCCAGGAACAAAAGACCCTTTCAGGCTGGCGCACATAATTATTAGAGGAGACTTGCATAACCGTCGCAGACTACTCATGTTTTCAGGCCTGTCTCTAAATTTGGTTATTCACAACCTTTATAGCTCAATATTATTGCCTAACTGTGATCATTTTCTAATTATCCTAATAATACCTATTAAATAATTCCCATTAAATTACTTGAACCAGAGCAGCACAGGCCAGCTCAAATATAACTTAACCTAATAAGCATTGGTCATTCATTAAGCACCAGGGCAATCTCTTAAAGGGGCTGAATAGAATATTAAACTGGGAAGGAATATTATTATTGCACAAATGTTATTACAAGTTAGAGTGTATTAATTTTGGTGCCTGGTTTGCAAATCTTCCATATGGTTCCCTTTGGGGCTGCTCTCCATGACTCGACTCTTTGAGTCTTCATCCCCTGCTTGATTTGCAGTTGTCACCCACACAAGGACCATCAAGGAGAAAAAGGCCCATAAACTTAACAGGGGAATTAAATTACCAGGGATATAAAGAGAATGAATGGCATCCGTCTTCTGGCCAGGTTAGCACAACTTTGAAAACACCACAAGCTGCCTGGCTTCCTTTAGCTGATAACTCAAAATAGCCTTTCTTCACATTTGGCGTGAGGGAGATTTTTCAAGTGTTAAAAATGTGGTTTCTAGAATTTAAACCCCAAGTACTGAAGATGAGAGAATCCATTCTTCAAACTCATATGTATGTGGATATCAACATTTTGTAAAATCATATCAGGTAGCATTTATCAGCTATATTCTGGGAGATACGTCGCTCACCTATACCCTTAATTCTCAAAATGACCTGGTATTGTGGAGATTATTAGCTCCATTTTTCAGAGATAGGAATATGGGACCAGAGAGGTTAAGTGATTTCCCTAGGACCACACAGCCTAAATGTAAAGGAACAGCATTTGAACCCTGTGCTCTTTGATGACTATAATTCCACTTGCCCCACTACTCTGCACTACCTTCCCAGCAAACTGAAATATGCCCTAGCTTTGCTGGTGTGTCCTTTTCATTTCTAAGGTGCTCACTTCAATCAGTGGATTCCTAAAGAAAAATGCCAGAGCTTTCTTGATTGGGAATAAGACCAAACATCAAGCAAGGGCAGATGACTGTGCTGAAGGCCCCAAAAGCAGCTGTAAAGACAGGCAGTGACTCTCACTCCAAGCAGCAGGAAACAGTTACTGTGTTTGTAACGAATCCTCCTTTTGATGGGTGGATTTGGGTTTTCTTTGCAAGAAGATAGTGTATTTCAGCAAGAAAATGAACAAATATATATTAATCATCTATCCTATCCATCCCATAGTCAACGCACTATGCTAGAGCTTCCACATAAATTGTTTTAGCCAATCCTCACCACAGATCCAAGAAACAGATATGACTATCACTCCTACTTCACAAATACAGAAAGTAAGGCACAGAGGGTTAAAGCCAGGCTCCACTGTTTCCCTGTTCTCTAGAAACAAATAACCATACAGCTAATGAAGCCAAAACCACAGGGCCCCTCACTTGGAGGGACCCTTGCAAGGCTCTGGGAGCAGCCCGCACGATATTGCAGGCACGACATTGTATGAGCTTCAGGCCTCACAAAAGCTGGGTCTGCCCTCGATAGTATCATCACTCTCAAATAACTGAACCTTTAAGAGAAGTCAAATGCTAACCTTGCACTGTGTTGTTTAACAAGTAACACATTTTCATGGTTGCACAGAGAGATATGTGTTTTCATTGCTTCATTTTTCACACTTTATATCTAAAATATAAAGGGCTAACGACACCATGTCACAAAGCTAAAGAGACAATACTTTCCACAAACTCTAAGGGCCCCCTCCAATTCACTAGCCACACAGATGCTGGGCAGTTTCCCAAAAAATGTAGGTTTCTCAAGTCATCCCTCACCTCAGAACCCCTCGCCAGCTCCTCGTTTGTTAAGGCATTTCGCGTCTTTTCACATGTGGCCTTCACAGGTGCTGCTCCCTCTGGCAGAACAGTCGCCTCACCTCCCAGTTAACCCTGCTCCTCCTCTGCGCCTCCTCTGGTTCCCGTCTTAATAGGTCAACCCTTCCAGGAAGCCCAGGCTGCCCGCCCTTCTCCCAGGATCAGTTAGGAACCCTTTGATTCTGTTTCTATGCACCCTACAGCTTGTTCCTACCCCAGCACTTGGCTTCCTGTATGGAGGGTTATCTTTCCACATGCCTGTGTCCTTCAGTGGATTATAAATTTCTAAAAGGCAGAAACTATCAAATTCATCATTATAGACCCACTGTCTTCATGTCCAATACACGAGGTCTTCACCAGATGAATTCTGTTTGGATTTGAGAATCTGAAGATATTGGTAGAATAGTTACCATTTAGTGCTTTACCTGTGCCAGGCAATGTGCTAATTTACATATATGCATATAAATGTTATTTGTATGCACATATGTATATGAATAGATGTACATATACATATCTAAATGTATATACACATATACATATATAAATAATTTCTTCCTCAATTTTTTCCATTTATTTATTTTTAGAGAGAGGGGGAGAGGGAGAGAAACATCAATGTGTGGTTGCCTCTCATGCCCTCCCTCCGGGGGACCTGGCCCACAACCCAGGCGTGTGCCCTGACTGGGAATCAAACCTGCAACCCTTTGGTTTGCAGACTAGCACTCAATCCACTGAGCCACACCAGCCAGGGCTCTTCCTTAATTCTTACATCATCTGTATAAGGTAGGAAACCACTATTACCTCCATTTGAGAGGAAAACAAAGTTCATAAAGATTTAAAACATGACTGGCCCAATGTCGTACAGTGAGTAAAGGGAGAAACCAGTATTTTTACTTCAAGTCCAGGCTTTGAACTTTGCTTGAATGCCCACATGTTTCCCTGAATTCATCCTAAGCCCTGGATCGCAAAGAACATGCACACTAGCAGACAACTGGGCAGACCAGAAACCCATTGACACAAGGCCCACCGGCACCCGGAGCCCACAGGAATTTCAGATGGGGCCGCCAGGTTGCTTGTGAAAGTGTGAAGCAGTTGTGGATTTCACACTGTATGTTGATGTTGACAGAGGGTGACAAAGTCTCACTGTTTTCCCAGACAGGTTAGACCAGCACTGCCCTTAGACCACAGCCATGGGGTCCCTTGGGACGCCTACCTGCTTCTCCTCTGAGCGCCTTCTCCAGCCTCACGCCCTGGATCTCGGAGGCCCTCTGCCGCTCCTCCACCTCCTCCAGCTGCCTCTGGATGGCCTGCAATGCCAGGGTCTTACGTCACGTGGGGACTCCCGGTGATGTAAGTGTGCAGAATCACCCACTTTCCAAGAGGAAGAAGTCCTTCCTCACAGATTGTCACCTCCTTGATGAAAGGAGTCAGGACCTCTGAATTCCCAAGCAACTAGACCTGGATGTTCCCCTTCTTTAGCATGAAGACATAAAGCAAGGGGTCTGTGTATTAGCTCAGTTTGCCCCCAAGTAGATGGTGAAATGGTCCCCTTTGACTAGGCCAGTCACGCAGACGTGCTCTCAGGCAGAGGCTGCTGGGCGAGGCTGGTGGAACCCCAGCCTCCGACTATGGTCCTGGAAGAAACACTGGAGCTGCAGCCATGACTCAGAGTAGGACTGGGGCTCTCGGGGTGAACATAGAGCGCGCTCACATTCCATTTTCCCAAGAAAACCCAGCAGGTCCCTCCCAAGAAGTTGGTCTGGAGCAGGGGACCTCGGCCAACTTCTGGAGCTGAGTGTTCCTTTCTCGGTCAGTCTGGCTCCTGTCCTCAGCTACAGACTGCACCTATCCCTTCACTGCACCATGGGGCCAATGCTCAGGGGCCTTTTACTAGGGCAGTGTATGGTAGCCTTGTTACTAACAGGTTATTAAGACACAAGATGTCTATCCCATAAAGGGACAACCTCACACCCTCCTTGAACTCACCATTAACTCTTATTAAGGTTTGGGGTCATGAGTGGGATTACATTTTCACTATTACTTTCCCTGCCAGCTATTTCTCTCTTCTGTATATTAAGAAGGATAATTAGGGGAAAGCCTTTCCGATCTATATTCAGTTCATCCCATCAATTTTCTCTGTTTTCAGATACCAAGCTCCCAAAAGGCCCATCTCTGGGCAGAACAGCCTTTGCACCTGGCAGACCAGGTCTATTTAAGGGACTAGCAACTGTCGGGGCAGGTAGAATTTGTGTGTTCTTTCTCCTCTGCGTTACTCCAGCTTTGTCTCGCTCCCCTTCCTCCTTAACTCTACATCTTTCTACATCGCCCCTGGATGCTGGGGTACACAATTGCCAAAGCACCTCCAACCCGGTGAAGAGGCCTGAGCAGGAAGGGCCTGAGCAGCCACCTGGCTCCTCTCGTGCCAACTAAAGAGTGTTTAAGCCCCAAACATAAAATTTGAAATAGATGGGAATTATATCTAAAATAACTTGTAATTTCATGCCCCCTTCCTCTCTGTCTCTCTTTTAAAGATAATTACATCTTTATAAATCGGTCTGTTGCTGGCATAGTGTAGAATTGCAAAAGGAAAGAAAACATTTAAATAACTTTATTACTGATGGCTTTGTAATTATGGCTATGTGGTTGTTATGGAGTTAGTAGAGCACTCCACCCCACCCACCCTCCCCGTCATATGTTGGAGCCCTAACTCCCAAAGTGAGTTAGTAGACACGGACTTTAAAGGAGGTAAATAAGGTTAAATGAGGTCATGAGGGTGGGGCCCTAATCTGATAGGACTGATATCCTTATAAGAAGAGGAAGAGATACCAGATATTGATCTCCCTTTCTCTGCATCTACACAGAAAGAACAGGCCACGTGAGGACACAGCTGAGGACACAGTGAGGCAGCTCTGCACAAGCCAGGAGGAGAGCCCTCACCAGAAACCCACCCTGAAGGTATCTTGATCTGGAACTCCAGCCTCCAGAACTGTGCGGGAATACACTACTGTTATTTGAGCATCCACTCTGCGGTATGTTGTCATGGCAGCCCAGGCTGGCCAATACAGTGGTCATTCTTTAGAAACTAAGAATGAAAATCTCAAAGATGAAAAAGGAATGCAAATTAAGACTCAAAAAGCCATTGTAGTTCTTATTGCCACCTATTGTCTGGAGTGAAACTATAAGGAGGGGAAATTGCCAAGCTTGCCAATGCACAGCATAAAGACTTATCTTGTGCTCAGCAGGGAAAGTTGAAACATTTCAAAGAAACCTGTTTTAGAAGTTGGGAGTGGACAGAGGGTATAGACGGGGATTTTCCCTGTCCAGTAGGTGAAAGGGGAAGCTCACAAGTCAGTCACTATGAAGGGTAAAGGAGGTTGAATTAAATTTACTTCCTTGATCTCAGAAACAACTTACAGGGCTCCATGGCCAGATAAAAAGATACTGGAGAAAGGAAGGGTGTATTGGATTAATACGAATGTCACGCGAGTCCTTTTGTTCTAAAACCTAACTGTTCTTCGAGGCCAGGTTTGGGTCCCTGGGGACAGGGAAAATGCCTTGCCTTCCTGCTTCATTTCACTGCTCTGCGACAGAGGTGGGCAGATGAGTTTGGGCAGAAATGTTGGGAGTAGGCCAGGAAATCTATACCAGAATGCTGACTGCGTATGTGGTCAACTAACGTGGAAACAGAGACAGCCCCTAATAGTTGTCAGTTCAGCAGAGACGCTGGCAGGAAGTTGATGGAAGGACGGGTCCTCACAGAGGACACAACTGGCAGTCAAGGCCTGGGATGGTGCCCGAGGCCATGCGTTGGAGATCATGTCAGGCGCATTTTGCTGGAAACCAGTCTGCAGCTGGAAAGGTGGTGGGGGCCAGATCAACACCTGTGCCCTCCCAGCACCCTGGTGCCACCAGGAATTGAGCCAGCACCTTTGGAATAGCCACAAACCTGGTTGCTCAGAGAAGAGGAACTGACCTCTCCCCAGCCCACCTCCCAGTGCAATACAGACTTCCAAAGGGCATTCGGAGCCAGAGTGCCAGGGTCCCAGACCTATTCCCCCATATCAAGTTTGTTTTCTGACCTGAGCTTTATGAAGTCTTTTTAATTCTTCTTGTTTAACCAATAGTTGTGTTGCTTTTTCCAGCTTCCTTCTTCTTCTAAGCATCTTCCTCTCCTATAAAAAACAACAGAGAAGAAAAAAATATGTCAGAGAAATTGGGTTGAAACTTACAAAATACTGTCATGGGCTTCTGCCCTCTGCGACCAAACCACTGCTTAGCTTCTAGAACAATGAAGGTCCAATAGAACTTCCTGCGATGAGGGAAATGTTCTATATCTGTGACTGTCTAAAATATGGAAGCCACCAGTTGCATGGGCACTTGAAATGAGGCTAGTGTGATTTAGAAATTGGCTTTTAAATTTTATTTCATTTTAATTAGTTTAAATAGCTACACATGGCTAGTAGGTGCTAGACTGGGAAACTGGGGTGTGTGTGTGTGTGGGGGGGGGGTTGTGTTGGAGTGTCTGTACGTGTAGTATGTAGTTGGGAGTGGCTTTATAGAGCACTTACTTGGTACACTTGAAGGTTGGAATAATACAAGACTTATACGCTGTATAGGTGCTACCAGCTACCATGAAGCCCTAGGATGATGAGCCTAAAACACACACACACACACACACACACACACACACACACACACGTATACTACCTGAAAATGATGCAACAACTTTAACTAGTCCTTACGTTCATTCTACACTGCCTAATTAAACCTGAGAATACACCTGGATGTGATTTGGAGGAGCACATCCAAATCAAAGGAAAAGCTTTCTTGGCTGGAAAGAAGCATAACATTGCTTCTCCTCCCTATTTCATTTTGCTGTGCAAATGCACCGTTAATGTTGCTGGGTTCTCTGTGTGCCTGGGCTTGTAAAATACAGAACCTTCAAAACTGATGCATTTAGAAGAGATGTCTGGATCTCGATGGTGCCATTTCCAGGTTTTAGACACCAAAGAAAGGGGAAGTAGTGGCGTGGCCAGCTCCACATAGTGGAAAGTTCAAGAGACACTTCTGACTGGAGAAAGGGCAGAGGGTCGTGGCTGGGCACTGGGACCGGGGACCACGCAAAGCTGCATCAATTCCCAGCTGAGCGGCGCGCCCTTCAGCGTGTCACACACTTTCTGAACTTCAGCATTCTTTTCGGAGCGAAAAGAATAGCCTCCTGCCTACTTTGTAAGGATGTAATTAGGACTAAATGAGATAACATGGGTCAAACCCTTTGCAGAATAACTGAAAAAAATATAGGACAGGAATTCAGTACCTGCTATGATTTTTATTGTCAGCATTATTATTATAAATTAGCATTATTATAACTTTTACTAAAACCTATTATTTTTCATCTAATATTTGTGCATATATATATGCATGAGTATATATATTATACATATGTATACATCCTGTATACATGAAATTAATGTTCAAATTGGGCTGGTTTTATTATGAGTTTGCCTTCTCTGAGCATACACTTCGATTTTCTATAACAGCATGAGGATTAGAGTATGCTAGAGATTCCTCTTTGATGCTGGCAGAAACAAATATGGAATGACAAAATTACTACAGCGTGGCTGGTGCCTGGGTATTCAATAACTGTGGCTGAATTGAAAGTTTGCCCATTAAAAGGACCATAAATCCACAGTTGATGAATAGACCTAACAGGCCTACCCCCAGATACTGCAGAGGAATCTGGGTCCCTAACAGAGGTTAGAGATTGAGCCTCAAAAGCCTAAACTTTTCCACGGTTTCACAGATCCTTGTCATTCTGACACCCATTCCACAAAGAGACCACCACTCTCCTTAGAAAGATTCCAGCTTTCAGGGTTCAGAATGTCCACAGATCATTGGTGAAAACATTTATCTCAATGAAGAAATTTGGTTTTTATGGAATTCCCTTTAGGATCTAGAATCCTGAAGGTTTCATGCTCCCCTTTGCTCCCCTTCACCCTTGGAAGGAAGCATTGGCTCTCAGAACTCTGATTTATTCCATATCATATCATTTTTATTTCTAGGGGATGACTTCCAGATTGACTGGCAATCACTCTGAACAGAGGTTCCTGGCCATTGGGGTGCAGGAACCCCTCTATTAGGCAGCCAGGATCTTTCCGGAAAGGCTGGGGAAGAGCACGGTGGAGATCACTTGTAATTGTCGTCTAGAGACTATATAACTCAGTCTATGCAGAGTCAGTTCATTTATTTAACAACTATCTCTTGAGCTTATAACCTACTAACCTACATAATAAATCCCAGCATTTATTGAGTGTTATATGCCAGATGCTGTACTAATTAGTTCACATGTATCATCTTAACTATCCCCCAAGTTAGACTTGTTTTATAGATAAGGAAACTAAAACTCAAAGAAGTTAAATTAACTTGCCCAAGAGGACACACACTTAGTAATTGGTAGGGCCAGAAGGTAAGCTCGGGTAATCTGAATCCAGCATCCACATTTTCATCTAGTCTGTTTCACCTTTCCTGTGCCAAATACTGTGTAGGCAAACCAAAGATTCCTACTTTATTGAAATGGCAAAGTTTTACCCTAAATTAAGAGCATTCAATACAATTTCAAGGGAGGATGCTGTAATAGCACTTCCCAGCAGCAAAGCTGCCAACCCCCATCTGCTTTATCAAGAATCGGCAAAACAGAACCTAGAGGAGGGAAGAAAGTCCTTTATTGCTTTTTGTTAAAAGATGTTGATATAGAAATGAAGGATGATTTATTAATGCTCAGATAGCCTCATGAGCTGCCAGGCACAGTTCTTATGTCCTGCGTGATAGTGATGACGATACAGAGAGGAAAAGAGACTAAGGGATAAAGAAAAAAAGATAAAGGACAGAGAAAGGAGAGCTCTGGTAGGATGAGGACAAGCTGCCTGTCCCAGGCGCAGATCCAGAGCCGGTTTGGGAACAGAGCCAGAGGGGAGGGGCAAAGCAAAGGGAAGAGGTGGAATGTGCACATCCTGTGTCCAGTTTCCTATGCAAAGGTTCATTGGAGCTGACATGGGTTCTGTGCCACACATCTGGGGATGCACCTGTATGGGACAGAAGAGATAAAGAAACCAGAGAAGGGGAAGCTCCCCGTGTTCCTTCACTGTGAGCCCGTGGGGAGTCCTTGGCCAGCTTTCCTTCCTGTGAGGGCGGCCACATCAGCAGCCAGGAGAAGCAAGCAGGGTTTACCTCGTTGTGAGCTAATGTGAGGACTGGCTGGGTCCTGGGAGAGCAGGAGCCGTTTGCAAGGCTTGCCTGAGGCATACAGTCCTGCTATTTGGATGTGTTTGGGCCACGCCATTCTTTTCTTCTCCATAAGCGTCAGGATGGCTGATGCTCATTGGAATACAGAAATAACTCAGGGTCACTCAAAAAGATGAGAGGGGCGGTAAGGAAGCCCTAGAAGTCAACACACACATCGAATTCATTTGTGTTGAGTAACTAATCAGAGACACCCACAGTTACAAAATTAGGAGTCTATACATAGTCTCTCATTCTTATTCACACACACACACACACACACACACACACACACACACACTCTCTCTCAGCCATCTCTCAGCCCCCTCCTGACTTGCTCCAGGCTGGGCCTTGGGGAGCTGGAACCCCCGAGTGACTTGAAAAGACGCCAAAGCTCCTAGTGCCAGATATGGAAAAGTTGAGTCTAAGTAAATAAATCTGGTTCTCTCCCTTTCTCTTCACTGCTCAAAAAAATAAACATGGTCAGAGCAGTGAACTGCATCTCTGTCCACCCAGGAAGCATTTTAGGTCCATCCATCCAGATCCCCACCCCAGTGAAACTGCTCTAACCCCAGTGGACAAAAAACACAATAGTGGGATGCATGTCTCTTACATCATGGGATGCATGTCTCTGTGTATGTGACATACAGCTACATTTAAAGACACAGAACGCTGTTTGTGCTTTCAAATGGGTATGGGAGTTATTTATAGTGTTCTCCAGAAATATTCATGTTCATTAAACAAGGAGTAGGGACTGCCATCTCCCCAGCCGGTACATGACTAGTCCTTTCCACGGTGGGGACCCTCAGAGTATCCACACCTACATGCAACTGCGTGGTTCATTCCATATTTCTAATTAGAATAAACATAACATTTTCTATGCAATCTGTCTCAAGTGCTTCTTAAATGAAGCTGTGCTTCCCCCAGGGAACTATGCATCTGTGTGTTGTAATTTTTTCAATAGTTTGCTTGTTGGACCACAAATTAAACCCACTTTTAAGAGCTGCAGTCACCAAATGTTTCGAGTAGACACGTCAGGTTTTTTTCCTCCCCCATTTTACATCTCTGAGAAGGTTAAGCTTATAAAAGTTAACAACAACAAAAAGGAGATAATTCTTGGGGTATTCCAGGTAAAAAGGGCAGTTGCTGTCAGATGCAATGACACGTGATCCTCCGAATGAAACCACAGCAGCTGGAGCCCACATTGGGTCTCAAATCTGGAGGGTAAACAGCCCTGCAAGCCAAGACCCCCTTTGGTTTGCCAATTTTTTTTTTTTTACCTTTGACTGCAAGGAAAGTTGGGGATCAAATTCTTCGTCTTCAGAAGAAGAGGAGGTGGAAGAGCCAGCCCCTGTCACCTGCACCCTGCTGGGGACGTGCTTGGGACCTGAAAGGGGAACAGAAGAACTCACTGAACTCCTAGCTTCTTTTCTTACTTAGTGACCCAAAGCCGCCTCTCCCTTCTCCCCTCCCCCCCCTCCCCCCCCCATACCCTCCCCTCACTGCACCTGCCAGGAGCACGAGGAGGCAGTACCTAAGGGCAACTGAAAATTTGGCCCTCCACGTTAATTACATTTCTGGGTCCCTGCCAAGAGCTTTGCAGCTCTCTCTTCACCTTAAAAATAAAGGTATTATGCAGAAATCAATTAATTCCTTAAACACCATTTATATGGTGTGTTGCTTGAATGCATTCAGAGATGAAATCTATTATTAAAATGCTTGTCTGAAGTTAGCTGAGTTACCTAAATGCTTGTGTAAGGTTTGTTCTGCAGAGTAATTGAATGCAAAAAAAAAAGTCAGAGCCAGCTCTTAAACAAATCGCCCTTCTGCGGCTCGCAGCATCTGGTACCCATTTTTACTACATGACATCTGCTCAGTGTAAAAGAGCTGGCGTCAGAATGTCTGGTCATAGAAAAAAAATCCCAAATGTAATCAGAAGCAAAAGGACTCTAAGCCTAAGGTTTTATCACATAGTCTCATGCAACATAAATATTTCATTAATTATGGCTAAACAAATGCCACTTTTATTTTCCCAACTTGCAGATATTATCACATCATCGAAGTGATGATTCAAATGCCAGGAAAGGCCGTTCAAGATAGGGAGGGCTCAACAATGCAGGGCCCGCGGGAGAGCCAAAGTCGAGGGGACACACCAGCCTCTGAACAAGAGGCAGATAGATGGTTAGAGGCAGCAAAGTGCCCTTGCTCACTAGCACCTCTCTGTGAGCTGGCTGGGGGCCGCATGCGAGAGAGTCTCCCGGGGCCGCAGGAGGCTTTTATTCTTTGCAGTGAGAACATCTGCCCCTACAAATCAACCTGACGCAGGGTTAATGATTAATATCTGGATTAATGCACTCTGGACACTGAATATCAGAACCAGCTAGGACTTCATGATGGGAAATTTACTGATTTTTACTCCACCGTGGCAGCTTATATCTGAGTGGAAATATGTGTTGGGTGGGGAGGAAGGTGGAGAAGCAATTCCTAGCCAACTAACATTCCCTCCAGTCTGCTTTATCCTCTCCATAATGTTCAACTGTTTACCCCAGTGGGAGAGGCCAAGTTTGTAAAAATAAAAATAATTTTAACTGCTAGGAGCACATTTACATATGCTGTTATTCAAGTCAAAATAGTGCAAAACACCTATATAAAAACAAAGCCTCTCTGGGGAGGGAGCTGACGGTTTTCCACTCTAATTTGCCAGACGGGAAAGCCCAGGTGAGGAGGGAATCAGGGAGCAGCATAACAATGGACGGGGGCCTTGTTCATGGTGAGCTGAGATTGTTCCCCAGTTGCCCCAATAAATTACCACCCAGTACTTCAGTCTGAGAGTGTGAGCTTGAGGAATTAACTTTTACCTCCCTGAGTTTCTGGGAATCACAGTTTTCTAATTTGCAGATTCGTATTGCAAGGTGAAGAAGTATCCATATGACGAGTCTAACACAATGCCTGGTTCACTGGAGGTGCTTAAATATACGTTGTTATCAGCATCAGCTACGGTGCTCCTTCACCATTGTTATTGATCAGAATTAACAATATGTAATATTCATAAAACTGCCCAATTTACCTTCATTCAATAGAAAAACTATAATAACCTAGGGTAAAACATTTTTTAATTCTCAAAAACAAATTTACTATTCCCATTGAATTTAATTTTGAAATTGAGGAGAAAATGTTTCCAAATATAATGCATTTCTTAAACTTCTGGCAAAGTTAGATGAAGTGACATAGGTCCCTCTGAATCTCTTTGCCTTCACCCTCTACCATCACAGAACCATCTCTTCTAGGCATTCACTTTTCATTTGCAGAGTTAACAAAACCTTGGCAGCATTGTTTCATTCTAGCTTTAAAAGGCTGACTGATTCTGGGGATGATATCCTATCACGAAGCCCTAGAAGTCAGGACAAAATATGCAAAGCAGCTGTTTGCAGGCATTGGACAATGGGAAGTGCAGAACTGTGACGAAGGTGAGAACAAAAATAAATGAGGTAAGGTCTACAATCACAATAGCTTCCTCTGCCTAGAGGCACTTTCTTCCAGATTTCAGTGCTGCTAGGAAGAACCTTTACAGAGCATGGCTGAGTCATCGGGTTGAGAAGGCAGTGATCAGAGTTTGAGAGGGCTGGGGCAGCTGGAAATGTGTGGGGGAGAGCCCTGGAGAGGAGGGAGCCATGCAGAAAAAGAACATCAGAAATAAGCATAGAGGTCCCCTTGGGTCTATGGCTTACAAGTAAACTACAGAAGCACAAAGAGAGACTGCATGAGGCTGGGCAAATAACCACTGGGGAGTTAGAAGCTAAATAAGATCTGAAGCTTTTGCAGGACTGGGAAATGTTCAAGTTCTACCCAGCCAGGGTAGAACAAACACAGGGGGCAGTAGTAGAGACCACAGAAGAGTCCCACTTTAGTAATAGGGATAAAGCAGCCCTAGAGTAAAACTTATCATAGACTCATCTTAATACGCTTAAAAACAAACCTTGGAAGAAATAAATTGATCTGCAAGTACTTTTCTGCCTTTCCCTACATTCTTTACTGCCTTTAATATTATTTAAATGAAGAAAGAAAACCTAGACACAAAATCTAGCAGCTTAACCCTAACCCTAACCCATCCTCATACTCAGAGGTTGTTGAACCCCAACTCCACAGGGACAGAAGCGCCTGCACTTGGGACCCTTCTTAACTTCACCCTCTGTAACTCTTCATCAGGCTATTCATCTGCATCTTTTATCACATCCTTTATAATAAACTGGTAAGTTTGTTTGTTTTTTTTTAGTTCTGCGCCATTCCAGCAAATTATTGAACCAAAGGAGGGGATTGTGGCAACCCCTATTTATAGCCAGCTGGTCAGAAATACAGATGACAAACTTATAAAGATATATAAGATTTGAGCAAAAACTACTAATACATTTGACCTAATTGATAAGTATATGTAAAACAACACCCCCCCGCAAGAACTAGAGAAAATACATCTTTTTTTTTTTTTTTTTTTTTTTTTTTTTTATCCAGAGCACATGGAAAATTGACTAAGTTGGTGCTATGGCAAGCCATAAAGCAAGTACCAACAAAATTCAAAGGACTGAAATCATACATAGTATGTATTCTGACAACAGTGAGATTAAGCTAGAAATTAATAATAAAAAATAACACTAGAAATTTCAGAATGAAATTGCCAGATGGGAAAGCACAGGTGAACCTATACTTTTCTAACAACCTATAGATCAAATAAGAGCTAAAAATAAACTTGAAGTGATGATTAAAAACAGCATAACAAAATGACTAGCATGCAGCTAACATGGTGACTAGAGGAAAACATTGAGCTTTACATATACACAATATGCAAAAGAAAAGTTGAGAATTAATACTCTAAGTTCCATTTCAAGAAGCTAGAAAAAGAACCACAAGTTGAACCTAAAGAAACTAAAAGGAAGAAAGTAATCAAGGTAAGAGATTATGAAAGACAATAAAGACAAAGCAGAAATAAGATAGAAAACTAACAAAGCAAAAATTTGGTTCTCTAAAAAGACAAAGTTGATAACCTCCTATAAAGAATGACTAAGACTTCCGGTCATGATGGAGGCATAGGAAGACACGCTTTGCGTCCTCACGTAACCACACAGAGAATTACAATTGAACCTCAGAACAAATAACACCCAGAACTGTCAGAAAATCCAAGTGTATGGAAGTCTGACAACCAAGGATTTAAAGAAGCCACATTCACCCAGACAATAACCTAGATTACTCTATCAGCAAAGCTATCATTTAGGATGGAAGGGCAGATAAAGTGCTTCCCAGACAAGGTAAACTAAAGGAGTTCATCATCGCCAAGCCATTATTAGATGAAATGTTAAAGGGGTGTATTTAAGAGAAATATCAAAACTATGAACATTAAAACAGCAACAAATTCACAACAATCAACAACTGAATCTAAAAAAACAAACTAAGCAAACAAGCAGAACAGGAACAGAATCATAGATATGGAAATCATTTGGAGGGTTATCAGTTGGGAGGGGGAAGGGGAGTGAGTAATGAGGGAAATGGTGCAGGGATTAAAAAGCATAATTGGTAGGTACAAAATAGAGAGGGGGATATTAAGAATAGTATAGGAAATAGAGAAGGCAAAGAACTTATATGCACAACCCATGGACATGAACTAAGGTGGGGGGATTGTTAGAGGGAATGGGAGGACTGGGCAGGGAGGCAAAGGGGGGAAAATTGGGACAACTATAATAGCATAATCAATAAAATATATTTTTTGAATGACTAAGAAAAAAGAGAGATAAAACCCAAATTAGCAATATTGGAATTTGGAAGTTATTATATAAACTATTTTATGACAATAAATGGGAAAATTTAGGTAAAATAAGCTTTATTGAAAATTATCAAAACTGACATAAGAAGACAATTTGAATAATTATATCTATTAAAGAAAGTTAATTCATATTTAGAAACCATCCAACAAAACAATTCTAGGCTGGATGACTTCATTTGTGTTCCAATGTTTAAAAAGAAATAACACCAATGTTAAAAAAGAAAAAGAAAAACTCTTCCAGAGAATGGAGAAAAATGGAACACTTCCCAACTTGTGTTATGAAACTAGCATAAGTTTGATAATGTAACTTGACAAGGATGTTACAAGAAGGGAAAATTTCAGACCAATATCTCTCATGAGCATATGTGCAAAACTAAAAGCAATTAGCAAATCTGATACAGTGGTATATGAAAAGTTTAAACATTATGACCAAGCGGGGATTACCCAGAGAACTCAGTACTGATTTAACATTTCCAAATCTCTATATAGAAATGCAATCAGTGTAATTCAGCACATTATTTGATTAAAGTAAAAAAATATGATCATCTCAATAGAGGTAGAAAAGCAGCTGATTAAAT